ATTTTAAATTAGGATGTTAGAAGGATACTTGTCCTCCTCCTATTTTCTGTTTTAAAATAATTTTAAAATTAGAAATAATAAGTCTCTTTTATCCCAATCCCCTAATCATATCTATCCAAGAAAACAATTAATTGGATAAAAAAAAAACCTTTTCTTTCCCAACTCCCTAATCATGCCTATATATTCAGGAAAATCATTTTTTTTACATCAAAAAAAATATATGTATTAAAATAGAAATTCAATCAAACAACTCTTCCATCCCAATCCCCTAATCATGCCTGTTCAAGAAAATATTTTATTGGATCAAAAAAAAATTATTAAAACAAAAATTCAGTAAAACATCTCACCCATCCAAATTTACAAATTTATTAATCATGTCGTTTCAAAATACATTTGTAGAATTATTACTAGTATTAGATTTTTATTCTATCTTACAACCAAAAAAAATAGCAAAATCAATCCTTTAACAACAACAACCCAAAAAAAAAAAAAAGAAAAAGCCTTTAATTTATAAAACAATCCATTCTTATTCTAATCATCTCACTCACTAACTCATACTCTATACATCAATTTCTCTTCATTTAACGCTCCATTCAAATAAAAATTAATAATAACGCTTCATTATGCTTAAAAAAAAACACTTCATTAAAATCTATACTAAAATACCAATGGAGTGTTTAAACATCGCCCACAAAATTCTATATAAAGCCCACAATTATTTTTAGTTTGACACTTTTGCCCTTTTTCTAATTTTTACCGAAAACGTTATTCTCTCTATAAAAAAATATGGAGTCGGAATGGATCGCCGAGGGACGCCGGAGAGTCGAGGGACACCGGAGAGCCGTCATCGTCGCCGGAAAGCGAGGTACCTTGCTTGTTGTAGTTACGAAATGTTGGCTGGCGGATGGCCGGAACGCCACCACCGCCCATTTCGAATTTTTTTTTTAAATTTTATTTAAAGATTTTTTTTTTTTTTGGTTTTTTAACTTTGATAAATTTGAAATTAAATATGTGTTAATAATTTCAAAAAAACATAAAATTATGGTTTAATTTGAAATTATGTTTTAAATATGTGTTAATAAAATTATGTTTTAATTTTGTATGTGTAAATTAAATATGTGTTAATAATTTCAATAAAAAAATAAAATTATGTTTTAATTTTGTATTTGTATGAATAATTTTATACATAATTATGTGTTAATTTTGTACGTGTATGAATACTTTTATACATAATTATTTGTTAATTTAGAAATTAAATGTATTATGCGTTAAATATAGAAATGAAATTTACAAATAAAAAATTTAAAAATTACTTATGTGTTAATTTTGTGTTAAATGTATTAATTAATCTTTATATAATTCTATGTATTTAAAATTATTTAATTGTTGTAGGATTTTGGTGGAGACGGTGTTGATTACAATGATATTTTTGTACATGATGGTCCCTTCGAAGATGTTCAACAAGCGATTGATTAGACAAAACAGGTTGCAATTAGATCTGGTTTTTGTTTAGTAGTCGCATCTCATAAATCTCAGCGGGATGGTAAAATGGATCGCATTTTAAGATGCGACCGTTATCGCAAAAGGGAGGAACGAAATTTCAGTACAGCGATTCGGTTTGATACAAAGCGGAAAGGTTGTGGGTGTGAGTTTAGAGTAAAGGTACGACAACACCAAAGTCGTGACGGTTGGGAAGTGAAGGGTTACTCTAAATGGAGGTATCATAACCATGAGATGATAGTGTATGAAGTGGGTCATCGACAGTTAAGTGGCCTAAGTCCTGCTGCAAAACTAGTTGTCAAAGAAATGAGTGATGCTCAAGTGAAGACCGCTAAAATATTAGCATTTGTGTTAGAGAAATTTCCTGAAGACCAGCCAAACCGAAGACACATCTACAACGTCAGACAGAAACTGAGGTTTGAACGGTCAGAGGGAAGGAACCTTATTCAGCAACTTCTACATTAGGCACAAGCACGTGGTTACCTGTTCTGGTTTAATTCTGATGAAGAGACATCGGAGGTGACTCATTTATTCCTTGTGCATCCTGATTGTGGTGATATGATCAAGTCTTGGCCATCCGTGATTTTGATTGATTCAACATACAAGACAAACAAGTACAAGTTCCCACTGGTTGAGATGGTTGGGATGGCTCCAACGAACCAAAACTTTCTGATTGGTTATGTAGTCATCAAGGATGAGACGGCTGCGAGTTATTATTGGGTGTTGGAGAAGTTAAGAAACTACATCGGCCCAAATGTTCAGCCATCGTCAGTGATTGTGAGGGAGGTCTCTTCGCCCCTATAACGGAGTTGTTTCCGGAGTCGAGCCATTTACTGTGCACATGGCACATCAACAACTGTGTGAAAGTCAAAGCCTACAACCTTTTCAACAAAAGTTTAGATTCAGCAGAGAGATTGGTAAAAGGTAAGTGGCGGAAGATCCTGCAAGCTACTACAGAGGCAGAGTACGATCGAGCCTTGGATAACTTCAAGGATGCGTACCAATGGTGCCCGGCAATGGTAAACTATGTGATGCAGCAGTGGATACCTCAAAGGGAAAGGTTTGTCAAATATTGGACAAACCAAGTTCTTCATTTTTGAAACACTACAACATGTAGAGTTGAGAGCGCTCATAGAGCTTTGAAGGACTGGATTGATTCTTCCACCTCTGCTCTGGATACACTGTTCGAGAGAATAAACAAGGCTATTGATACTCAGAAGAACGACATCAAGAACTCTCTTGAGGACTCTAGACGGCGACATGGCATGATGTATTGCCACACTATTGCTTGGGGTTGATTCTGAGCAAGCACAACAGGATGAAGGAGTTGGGTGATGAAGTGGCTATTCGGTGCGGATGCTATATCAATGACTTATGGACTACCTTGTGCATACACCATTCACCGCGTAATTACGCAAGATAGGGCGTCGTTACATGTTGATCAGGTTCATCCATTCTGGCGGATGCTCGTTATTGGAGAGCATGTTGTTCCACAAACGGTCCACCGTGAACAGGAGGAGTTTGAGCAATTTCGTTCGATGTTTGACTGAGTGTCCTCCAGTCACTCTTCAATCATTCGTGATGCTATCCACGTACTTCATGACATGTTCAACACGTCATGCTTGGATCACGAGGAACCTAAAGGGGTCAAGCGACCTAGAGGTCGACAACCACGGCGGAACATGAGTGCGTTTGAGTACATTCGTGGCCGTGGTCGTTCATCGTCATCCAGTCGTAGCCAACCTTCTTCGTCGGTGAATATGCCCAGCACCGGTATAGTACTTTACTTTAATTTACTTTTTAGATTTAGAATGTTTGTTTGGTTTAGTGCTGACTTTTTAATTGTGTTTATTGAAATGTGCAACAGGAAGAATGGATATTGATCAGTTTCCATATAAGGACAGGATCCCTAACATCATCATGGAATTCTTGGACGGGTGGAATGATGTGGTTGCAGATGGTAACTGCGGATTCCAGGTCGTGGCTGATGTGTTTCAGATGGGTGAAGACAACTATGGTTTAGTGCGTCAGTTGATGTACAGTGAAATCGCCTCAAACCGAGATGTTTATTGCCATGTGCACGGCTAAGACTTGGATAGTTCCCTGCAGCGTATCCGGTGGGGAAAAGGACCTTCACTACTAGAAAAATGCCATTTTCTGACGGACTATTTCCGACGGATAGAAATTTCCGTCGAAAAAATCAGAAATTCCGACGGAATTTTTTTCTGTTGGACATTTACGACGGAATTGTGACGGGAAAAAAAATCCGTCGGAACATATGGCTATGCCGACGGAATATTCCGTCGGAAAGTCTATTTTCCGGCGGAATTAAAATTTGTCAGAAATTTCTGACGGAATATTCCGTTGGAAAGTTTATTTTCCGATGGAATTAGAATCCGTCGGAATATTCTGACAGAATAATCCGTCGGAAATACCAAATATTCCGACGGATTTTTATTCCGTCGGAACCTAATTTTAAAAAAAAATCGGGAGAACCCTAACTTTTTCCACTTCTCTTTCTTTCCTCTCTCTCCGCCACTTTCTTTCCACTTCTCTTTCTTTCCTCTTTCTCCATTCTCTTTCTCTCTCCTTCATTCTCCTCTCTGGATTTCTCCTTCATTCTCCCTCATTCTCCTTCATTCTCTTTCTTTGGATTTCCTCTTTCTCCTTTATTCTCTTTTCGTCAACCTCAACAACAAAAACAACCCCATTCTCCCTCCTCTTTTCGTCAACCTCTCCTTCATTCTCTTCCGCTTTCTCGATCTTCCTCTCCTTCATTCTCCCTCCTTTTTTCGTCAACCTCAACAACAACAACAATCTCAACAACAACAACAACCGTCAACAACAACAACAACCTCAACAACAACAACAACAACAACCGTCAATAACAACAACAACAGTCAACAATAACAACAACAACAACGCGTCAAGCACCGTCACCGTTTGTAATTTTATTTTTTTTGATATGTTAGTTATTAATTTTACGATTGTAATGTAAGTTTGTTTGTAATTTTATTAATTATTTTTTCCATTTTGTTTCGATTTCGATTTTTTGTGCTTTTCGATTTCGATTTTATTAATTATTACTCGATTTTTTTTTGCGATTTTGTTTTGATTGGTGGTGGGTGGGTTTGGTTGGTGGTGGGGTGGGTTCGGTTTGGTTAGGATTAGGGTTAGGTGGGGTGGGTTCAGTTTGGTTATGGTTAGGAGGGGTGGGTTCGTGGGTGGGTCTGGTCGGGGGGTGGTTGGGTGGGTCTGGTCAGGGGCTAGCTGGTTGGCTGTGTGGGGGGGGGGGTCTGGTCAGGGGCTAGCTGGTTGGGTGGGTGGGGGGGTCTGGTGAGGGGCTGGCTGGTTGGGTGGGTGGGAGGTTTGAACAAGGTGGGTATGGTGGATGGTGGCTGGTTATACGGTTGTGGTGGGTGGTGGTGGGTCTGGTCAGGGGCTGGTTGGTTGGGTGTGTGGGGGGGGAGGTTTGAACAGGGTGGGTAGGGTGGGTGGTAGTGGGTGGTTATATGGTGGGTGGTTTCGGTGGGGTGGGGCTGGTTTTTTTTTTTTATTGAATTTTCCGACGGAAAATTCCTCTTCCGACGGAAAATTCCTCTTCCGATGAATTATTCCGAGGAAAAATCCGTCGGAAAGTTGCGATGGACTGACGTGGAAAGTCAAATCCTCCTACGATGGAAATAAATTCCGTCGGAAAAGTGTTTTCGACGGAATTTCCCTCGGAAAACCCCAATTTTCCGACGAAGAGTTTTCCGGCAGAACCTTTCCGACGGATTTTTCGCTTATTCCGACGGAAAAATTCCGTTGGAAATCAGCTGTTTTCTAGTAGTGCTTGCGGTCAATATCATTGGTTTGATGCGCTACTTGATCTGTTTGCCGTTGTAAACATCTACAAGTGTGCAGCCATGCATTCCGGACTTGGTTTGCATTGTCGAGCTTATTATCCATGTACCACGGTTCTCCCTTGGTGTTCGCGTGCGACCGTCACCACATGATATGTTCATTTTAGATAGTGATTTACTCCCATCCCTCGGTCATTTTTAGGAGTATTATTGGCTCTTTGGAGTCTCTTTTATTACTAATATGTGTTTTCTAGTGTTTTTGTAGTTTTAGTACTGTTTTATAGAAAATTGCAGATTTGGAGCATTTTCCCGGACTTATGATAGGCCACTACGAGCATTGGAGAATTCTGACCGTATTTCATAGCCCAAGACCGGTTGGAGTCATCAAATCGGTGATTAAGGGTTTGGTATAGAAGAGATCGAGGCAATGGACCAAGTGTTCAAGAACCAAGGTGGAAAACCCAGAATTGGGCCAAAAGAATTAGCCCAAAAGTTAAGGTCCAGCTTGCCCAAAAGCTCCGCCCGACCGGGCAAGCCCTCGCCCTGTGTCGCGCCCGACCGAGCGCGAGTGAAGATTAAAGGCTTAAAAAAGGCGGGCCCGGCCGGGCGAAGCTCCGCCCGACCAGGTGCGTGTTTCTGGAGAGTTTAATGATTTATTTTGTTTTATCTTTTTAGTTTAATATAAATACGTTTTATTTTAGGAAGTTAACAACGTTTTTTTTTCATTCACTTACTTAGAATTTCGGATTTAGTTTTAGTTTTTGTTAATAATCTTACATTCTCTCACGACACCTTGGAGTTTTATGCAATTCATTATTTCCATTAATTTTGGTAACGATTCCTTTCCTTTCATTTTCAGCAATTAATTTCTTTGATTAATTATGTCTTGCTTAATTGATTTAAATAATTTAGATTTAATTATGTGTGAATAGTTTAATTCTAGGGTTTGTGGGGATCCATAAAATACGAAGGGGTAATTTATTATTGTTGATTGTTAATGTTTTTGATTGATTTCCTATTGATTGATTTAATGCTATGCAATTAGATTAGGTCTGGTTTAATTGTATGAGTTATGCAATATTGATTCGAGATTCGAGAGATGAGAATTGATGCTTAGGATTAGTTTCAATAGACAGGTTAATTTATAAATGGTTAAGTCAAGATTCGAGAGATGCGATTTAATACCGGTAGATTAATTCTGTGATTGTAATACGTAGCGAAAGCCCTTTATGATCTGATTAATCTATGCATTGATGATTGATTATTATGTTTTACCCTGGAATATTATTTATTGGTGAACCTATACCCTAGGCCTTTTATTATTGATTTCCAACTTTAATTCAATTCGCCTTAGTTTGATTATTTTCCTTTAGTTAGTTTTTATAAAAACAAATTGGTTACTTGATAATTTAGATTATATTAAATAATTAGGAATAGAAAGACTTGTTTCCCTGTGGATTCGACCCTACTTCCCTATCTATTTTAGCTAGTGGTTTTAGGAATTACTTTTGATTAGGTGATACGACTTCAGCCTGTCACCACACCGGTAAAAGAGTTAGCTATTGCATTTTTGGGGCCGTCATACAGACATTTCATCCGATCGGACCTGTCATCCGATATTCCGGTGCCACCGATCATTCCTCGGTGGTACACCATTCGCACACCAAGCGTAGAGGGTTGGGATGTGTTGTATCATGACCGCATCCACCACTGGAACAACCTAGCTGCCTTTTTTTAGTTTTTCACGCGTATACCTTTTCTATGTAACCTTGTATTTTTATTGCTATTTTTATTCCATTTATTTATTTTACGTATTCTAATTTTGACTAAATTTATATCTTTCATGCACACTAATTAGTATTTGCGCGTTACAAACTAAAAAGATAATGTCAAAATTTAAAAACTTAAAATAATAATGTCAAATGTTACAAACTAAAAAGATAATGTCAAATTTTACAAACTATTATGATAATGTACAAAATGTTCTACAAATAAACTGCCCACAGATCAGTATTCCCTCTGTGACGCCCACTGCCACTGCTCAAGGGCCCGTTCCAGATCATCAATAACAACTTTGCTTGATGCAGTCGTCATGTTGTCCCTCTCCTGAAAGAGTCTTTGTCCCAGCTGCGTCATCTTTCCCATCCACTACACACAACGTTAAACATAAAATTCAATATCGATGTATTATTAAAAAAAAACCACACAACAATAAATGTTTTATGAGACATACCGCATCCACGGCAGTGGGCGGTGGCACATCATCATCAACGGCGTCGTCGCCATGGTGGAGGTCTCTGATCAACCTCGGGTGCGAATACCGGTTGTACCGTTCCATGTAGTGCTGGTCACACATGCCAGTCACTCCAGTTGGCGGCCACTACAACTCCGCAGTCCATAGGCGGGCAACCATCGAAAACTGCTCCCACGTGGCAATCATGCTTTCCGGCCATTGGACGACGTACTCCTTCGACGACGCAGATCGGACCGCCTTACTGGGCCATGCTGGTGGATGAGGGACAAGTTGGACAAATCCAAGCAGGCGAAGACAGCGCTGGGGCATGTACACCTCTACGATCTCACGATACTGAATCAGTCCCGTGTAGAGGTTCTTGGGTACCATATTACTAGGGTTCTGGCCAAAAGGCATCTAGTTCACCTGCACATTTTTCAAATTAGTAAAATTCATATAATAAATGCATTAAATACAAAATTAGAAATAATTTATACACTTTACCTCTAAGGGGGACATCCTGTCAAGCAATAACCGTATCGATCGGAGGCGGTCAACGAACTTCTTCTCGAACCGCGGACTCCACGCAGAGGCACGTGCCATCCCATCCCCAATAGGAACCGGGTCGTAGTGTGGTCGAAATGCAGGAAAATACTCGTATATCCAGGTTTGTAATAATGTCAGACATCCAGTGATACCTGCCGTGTTAGCCGGACTCGAGAATCCTAACTGGCGATACAGATACGCCAACGTAACCGACCCCCAAGAATACTGGCCTACTCTGTCAGGCTCACACGCGTCAACTATGTCGCGTGGCCTGAGCTTGTTTCCGCTCTTATCCGGAAACAAGGTACACCCGAGGAGAAGAAAAACATATGCAGCCGGTTGTGTGTCATGCGTCCTACGTGCAGTGGGGTGCAAACATCGCTTCAAAACGGCTGGGATCTTCACACCGCCGTGATCCCAAACACCAAGCGCCGCAGTGTACAGCGCAACCCTATCCACGCCAACAGCTCCGCTAGTAAATCTGTCTGATTCGCATCAGTCACAACAGAAAGTCGTTTTCCCTCTACGGGAATCCCAAGGATGGCCTCGACGTCATGCAACATGATCGTCATATCACCGAACAGAAGGTGGAAAGAGTTCGTATCCGGCTGCCATCGCTCAACGAAAGCCGTGATCAGCGTTGAGTCAATCCTATCGTGCATGGTGGCAGGAAGGTGACTCACTCTAGTGCCCCTCAATTGGCCGACCATCTCGCTCTCCTCCGGCCAAGCCTCATCCCATCTACACAAAAAGTTACAAGTCTTTTCCCGGGTTTGGCATTTCAAAATGCCCGTATCCAAACCCCTCTCCTGGTCCTCCCAGGTCCTAGAAATCTAGGAATCACGCTTCCGTCTACAGGTTCCCTAGCCATTTCACCCCTCACCACCCAAGAATCATTGACGACCCTCGACCGTTTTCTGCTTATCGCAGACACAGTGGACGCAGATGATGTGCCAGATCTACTAACAAATCTACCATCTCTACCCTTACGCACATCTACCCCATGCGTTTCATACATATCATCAAGCCTCTGACTAAATGGACTGTAATCATCATATGGTCCACTCTGATCGTCCACATCCTCCTCTGCATCCTCCTCCTCACCATCATCATCTTCATCCTCCTCAGGATGGTGAATCCGTTCTCTGCGAGCTGGGGCCGAAATACCACGTGATCTAACGTGTCTGGGCCCCGAGCTCTCCATTGAGTAGTTTCTACTTCTAATAAAATCAATACTCTTCCCTGCACCAGGTCGAAAATGCGATACCTAACTCCATTAAAAAAATTAAAGTATATATTAACATAAAAAAAAAATTACAAAAAAAATAACTAACCAAAATAAATCAAATAAACAAAAAAAATACTACCAAATTGACATAAATAAAAAAATAACAGAACACTGAAAAAAAAATATAAAAAAAAATACACAAAAAAGGAAAAAAAATAACCAAAAACATACAAAATATATATAAACAAAAGAAAACTTTTAAAAAAAAATAACTAACCAAAAAAAATATCAAATAAACAAAAAATATACTAACACATTGACATAAAAAAAATAACAAAACACTGCAAAAAAAAAAACAAAAAAAAAAAGAAAAAAATTACCAAACCATACAAAATAAATATAAACATAAAAAAAATTACCAAAAAAAATAAATAAAATACAACAGAATTGGAAACAAAAAATATAAAAACAAACAAAAAACATACAAATAATTGAAAAGGAAATATAAACAGAAAAAAAATACAACAAATTTGAAAAAAAAAATAAACAAAAAAAATATACAAAAAATTGAAGAAAAAAATAAACATAAACCAAAACAAAAAAAAAATTCTAAAAAAAAAAGAAAAAAAACAGTAACTGAAAAATAAAATAAAAATACACATAAACAAATAAAAAAAAGAAAAAAAATGGAGGGGCGTCCCAGCCAGATATCAATCCCACGGCGGCGGCGGCTGGGCAGAAAAAAAATAACTAACCATCGTGGCCCTGGCGTCCGACCAGATACCTCTGCCGTGGGAATGACATCTGGCTTGGCGGCCGCCACCGTGGCCAGGCGTCCTGCCCATTCGCGGTTTTTTTTTATTTTTTATTTTTTTTTTAAAAAAAACACCTTGCCATCGTGTGACCGCCTCTGTCGCTGCCAATTTCTTGCCTTGCCGTCTCGACATTGTCGTAGTTTGAATATTTTTTTTAGAGAGAAGTGAGAGTAGAGAGGAGAGAGTAGATGAGTTTTTTTAAAATAAATAAGGGTAAAAGTGTTAATTCACCTAATTTTGATGGGCTTTATGTAGAGATTTACGGGCGATGTTTAGCGGTAACGTTCCCGTTCAATTTCTCTTTTCAATAGTTCTTTATAAAGGATTGATTCCCCAATTCGTCACTGTTAATTGTTAAATCCTCTTTCCCTCTATTCCAGAGATCTCTCCGATTTTTTCAAGGTTAGTTGTTATTTTCCTTCCCCTTAATATCTCAAATTTTAAGTAAATTTTAATTTTAATGTCTAAAGTTTTCAACTCCTTTATGTGTTCTTTGAACTCTAAAATTGGGGTTGATGGGCGAATTGAATTTTCAGTTTTTATGTAATATTCTATACTTATTTTGCCGTTATTTTGATTAATTTCAAGTTGAATTGAAGGTGTGTTTTTGTATCATTTGTGGTAATCATTTTTTCAAATGTATATTCATATGCCAATTGTGCAAATAAATGTAATTTTGATGAATTAATTGATTGTTTTTAATTGTGGTTAAGTTGAATTGAAGGTGTGTTTTTGTATAATCTCTTGGTAGTGATTTTTTTTCGAATGCATATTCATATTCCAATTACGCAATTAAATTTAGTTTTGATGAATTTGTTGATTTTTTTTAATGGTGGTTTTCTGAATTATGTTGGAAGCAAACGGATGCAGTTTGTGGTGATAGTGCCCTGTTTATTTAACTTTGAAACTTTCTGCATCTTTGAAATTCAACGGAAAAATAATTAAATCTCTTAATCTTCAATCAAATCTTCAATCAAATTTCCTCATGCTGTCATGCATGTGTTGATTTATTGTTTCCAGATTGCCAGATATATTAGTAAAAGTCAGTAAGATAATAATTTCATAACCAAATTTTAAAGTACGGACAATTTCCTGATCTCACGGATATTAGTATGGATTTTCAAGATTTTATTTTTCTTTAATTTTGAGTGTTTTGTTTGGGTTTCAGTTTTGTTAGATGGGTTATGAATCGCTGCTATTAATCACAGTATATCATCAATTGTGGGCTTACTTACTGATCCAAATATTGGTGATGAACACAAGAATTTGCTGAAAGAGTTTATTGACAACTGAGTGAATGACAATTAGGAGCAAAGGTGAAGGAAGAATAACTAATGCAAATATGGTCAGTTCTCAGCTGTGGAAATAATGTGAAATCAGCAAGTTATATATTGATGTGTAACTTTTAAATTTCGTTTTTACTTCTTAAGTTTTAGATATATCTAAGCATTGTAAAACCATGGCAGGAACTAAATACAAGAACATGACATTTAAGATCGATAACACTACACGTGTTTGCTTTGCAAAGGAGTCAAATTTGCCATTTTATGTGATTAGTCGTAACCACTTATGTTGTAAACCATGCAATTATTGAACACTAGGATCTACTAAGTTTTGATCCATTCACTGTTTTAAGCCATTGAAATCACTGTCAATGCAAATTGTTAATAAAGAAGATCTAGAATACATTTGTGAGATATTGAATATTGCTTCTTTTTTTCTTTTTTCAGATGAATTTATTTGTTTTTCATAAATCTGCTATGCTTTAGGTCCTGCAATCTGAAAAGTTGTTCAATGTTATTCACATGCTCTTACTCTATTTTCCAAGTGATATCTTAACGTCATTTTGCATGTCAAGATAATTATAAATATACTTAATCTGTTTCTATCAATGGATAGAACTTCTGTAGTGTGATTCATCCATACCTCTCAATGCTTTCTATACCAATTATTGAGTTTTGTAGTTAACTAATAATGCTACATTTTGTATTTTTCATAGTTGAGTGATAGGAGCAGGTTGATTGGGCTTTTAGATATAAGTTTAGGTAAAAAAATTTGCCTGCAATTCTTAGTCTTATGTTTATAATGCTAATGCCAAGCATTTTAAGTGCAGGTGAATAATATGTCAACAACAATTTAACGACTTCGACTACATGTTAGAAGAGTAAAATGTGCTGAACTTTTTGACGAAATGGGTGGTAATCTGAGTTTTCGGCTACAGATAATGGCAATATAGGAATGGATGGATATGAGGCGAAATGTATTTCAATATGTAGTTTATAGCAACTTACAAAGGTGCCATAAACCCCAAGGGTCCTCAACTGCCCGTCATTCACGGAAAATACATCCACATCTAAGATTGTACCTATTTCTTTGACATTGTAAAAATATTGGATTTCCAATACTGTAAAAGTATTCTTGCTACAATCGGTTACTATGTTTTAGGATTTTTTTAAAGGTTTAGATTGATTTCTTGCATTACGTTTATTTTTATTTTAATTGTTTCTTTGATTCAGTTGAAGGATTTCTTGTGACTATTACGAGTACTACTATGAGCAATTTGTTTTCTGTTAATGTTGATGTGATTTTTTCAAAAAATCAGTGGCCGATCGAACTCCATTGTTTGCCAGTGATGATAACGTCGATGATTGTTTGGTTAGACGTGTCTTTTGTTGTGTGTTTAAAGCGCGTCTCGCGTTTTCTTTGGTGGCAAAGGAGATCATATCAAAAAATTGTCGGTTATACTTAAAAATGAAAAAAGTGTCGGTATTTAATGTCCACATCAACAAAGAAAGAGTCGAATAAAGCAACAAGTGTTTTTTTAATGTAGTAGTACTCGTATCAACCAAGGAAATTTGACCATGACGCGTTATTAATAATGGATCTATACCCAAATTTATACTCTTCGACTCTTAGTACAAGTACTAATTTTTAATCCGGTGTTTTTTTTTTGACTTGTTATACTGTATGATCAAGGTTATTGATTCAAAAATTATTTATTTAGGGGTTACTCAATTAGTCAAGGGTTACTTAGTTGATTAGCGCGTAATTTGTGTGAGAGTAACCCCTAATCGACCGAATAACTCATAAATAAATAATCTCTAATCAACCGAGAAATCCCCAAATAAGTAACACCGGCTAGTGCGGTCACACAATATGGTGAGAGCAGTGAGACCGTGAGACACATGAAAATTTGTGCTTTTAGTTACGAGTATAATAATTTAAAGTGGGAAATCACCGGAATTTGGCTACTGAAATCTGACATTAGATATTGCATTATATACCGCCAAAAAATTAAAAAATAAATAAATAATGGTGTTATCCCTAAAAGAGTAGACTCTTAACTCACTATGTAGTGAGATCCACTTGCCCTTTCGATTTTGACAACTTGTCATGGCCCCGCGTCGGCAACCTTTGTTTTTTTAATTTATTCTTTCCCTTGTCTTTTTTACACTATGTTTCCATAGTTTATTAATTATCCATTTTAAGAGGATTCCAACACCTTACAAGATTACGGTATATGTTTTTTTAACTTGTGTATAAATCACAAATATTGGTTATAGTATAAAAGTTCCAATAAAACACACACAAAAAAAAAAAAAAAAAAAAAAGCAGAGGGAGTACTTGTATTTCTTCGTAAAAATCTCAATTGGAAGTTACGGTAAGATAGCTTATTTATACAAGAATACAACTCGATCTAGTTCTCAAGTAATCAACATTTTTAGGGGTTGTTTTGCTAAACAGGCGTCATAATACCAATTATACGTCATTATTAGTATTTTCTTAAGACGAAATTTGGTACGAAGTATAAGGTAATATTGCCTATTGAGTACATCTTTAAACTTTAACCAACACAAACTAATTGACACTGAATTTTAATGCTCTTACTATTTATCTATCCATTGTTCTTCAATTCATTTCTTATATTATTAGTTTCCGTTTCTAGAAATAGTGACTACTCCGTATAAGATATATCAATGAAACTATTAATACATTCTCAGTAGTTGAAGATCTCAGTCATATCTAAATTATAATTATACCCGTGTAATATGTGTATTCTTTTTATTCGCTAGTCGGCACACATAACACATCTATGCACTATTATTTGACGATTCATACATCTTGTTATTCTTTTAATACAGGACAATTAGTTTCAACTCACATATAAGCTATTCGAGTAGGGGAATACTCTTTATCATAAATTACCATCAAAATATCACACTACTATACAACAATCTCAAATTCTCAAAATTTGTAGTTTATTGCCCACTTGAAAGTGCAACAATTAAACGGTTGACACCAAGTAAACACCAAGTCAGATATATGATTCGATTGATTCCCTTTGACACTGATAAGCTATTTAATAAATGAACAAAATTATTTATTTAATTTATATAATTATTTTTCCTCAAAAAAAATAATAATTTATATAACTATTTAACTAATTTTATATAATTATTTAACGACCTCGACGTAATATCCGGTTAACAGTCTCCCATCTGAATTGAGATCTAAATTCCATACTTTTCAATTATTAATTTTTTTTTTGAAACATCAATTATTAATTAAATTAAATATTAATAAAATAAATATTAAAACTTCCTTTTTTAGATCCTTATTCTCTCACTCTCACACTCTCTGTCACACACACTTCCATACACATTTCCTTCTTCTTTCTCTCTCCTCTTTTTTTTGTTTGCCTATTTCTTCAATCAAATCTAGGGTTCTAATCCCCAATTTTTCATCCCCCAATCTCCATTTTTCGATCGATTTTTCACCTTTTTCAATTCCAGATCTACCGGTAATTCATTTCTCTTTAATTTTCTTTGCTTTACGATTGATTATGTTTGTCATTGCTGAAGATTGTAAGATCTGATTTTGATTGATTTATTGCCGGTTTTACGATTTTGAATGTCGGTTTGAATTGAAAGTGTTGTTTATTTGTGCTAGATCTGGAATTACGAGGTTGATTGATCAGTTTATTGATTAATATATGTGATTAATTAGTTAATTAATTGATATTTAGATGTTGTTATTGATTGATTAGATCTCATGATAATTGCTGCGTAGTATAAATGTTTTTAATAATGTGTTATTTTAATGCTATTTATTCGATTTTGAGGTGAAATAATGGTGAGGAAATGCATAACAATGCTAAGGTTTGTGAGATTCTGTCAATAGGGAAGGTTACTATAATAGGAAAGTCATGCTCTTTCTGTGAATAGTGATGGTATTCTTATTTGGTATGTTGGGTATTTTTATCTTTTTGTGGGATCATGTGAAATGTAGATATGTTAGCTAGGCCCACACCTGGATTTAACTCTCAAATTTAGTCAGTAGGAGAGCTTAGTTACACTTTTTTGTGGTATTACTAGCTGTGATTTACGAAACAAACAGTAAAAGATTTCAACTTGTATAGGATCCTAATGATGTGGCTATGGTGGTCATCTTTGTAGCCAATTTGTTTAGTTAGGAATCATAAGTACTTTTGTATCCGTCAATTACCTCAACTGTGTTAGGAAGTATGATCGGTATTGTGTAAATGATGAATTGGAAGCGTTTCTTTGTGAGTGTTGTTATTGGATTATGTTGCATCGTCCGATTAGAATTCAGTACTTCAGTGATTTTTTGTGTATGGAGGGAGGAAGGTAAACTGACTGCAAAACAGTAGAGAAACTTCATCAGTTCCGCTAATCCATCACGTTAACCCCTAGAAACATTAAATGCATACTCTAAAATGGCAGAGAAACTACAATTGCTGCAAGCACATTTTTAATTGATGAGAATAATGCCACTTTTATCTTTAGCCTCTTGTCACATTTGCTAATAGGTTTTGTTGCTTGAGTCTTAACACACACCTTAACTTGTTTCTGCTCTTCTACTTTTCTTGTATATGTGAAGGCTGATCATGCTTGTGTTTTGCATACAGGATAAATAAGAATAGAGGATCCGGTCATGATCGTCTGATTTAAACAGTTAAAGTGGAATAATCTTACCTGAAAAATACTTGGTGGTAAGATGAGAGGGAGATCTGATGAAGTACAAAAGAAGCGCTTGGTCACTGCTTTAGTGAGTGCAGCAGTTGTCCTTTGTTTTCTGTATGTATACCAGGGATCTATTTTTGGTTCACAAAGTAGTGGTGCAACAGCTTTAGAGTATGGAAGCAAATCTTTGAGAAAATTGGGTTGGGGTGGGGATGAAGATGCAGATGATATCTCCTCCAAGTTTTCCCTGGACGATGCAGATGATGGTATTATGGTTAAAAGCTTCCCTGTAAGTTTGTCTTTACCCCTATCATGCACTGTCAATATCTAAAAGATAGTTTACATAATTAAATGCTAAAGCTATGTTACTCGGACTTTTCATTTCACTCCAGTTCCCTTTGCTAGATAGCCTCACTCTGCATAGGATGTTAAACACTTAACCTTTGGATTCTTTTAAGGGCAATGTTTTCATAAAATTGAAGTTGTGTACATATGATGTCTACCGTGGTCAAGTCTGAGTAACACAGGTTGAAAAAGAAACCTTTAGAGTTTGTACACTACTTAACTTTGTTTGCTTCTAATCTTTAAGGTCTGTGATGATCGGCATTCGGAATTGATTCCATGTCTGGACAGACATCTGATATACCAACTGAGATTGAAGTTGGACTTGTCTTTGATGGAACACTATGAAAGGCATTGCCCTCCTCCAGAAAGGCGCTACAATTGTTTGATTCCTCCGCCTCATGGGTACAAAGTAAGGATTGCGCTTTTATCTTTATTTTGAGATAGTATATTTGTAGCTCTTTCTGGAAACTTTATTAATATAGCTACTCTAACCATGTAGGTCCCGATCAAGTGGCCTAAAAGTAGAGATGAAGTGTGGAAAGCTAATATACCTCACACTCACCTTGCTCATGAGAAGTCTGATCAAAATTGGATGGTTGTTAAAGGTGAAAAAATTGTATTTCCTGGTGGAGGTACTCACTTTCATTATGGTGCTGGCAAGTATATTGCTGCAATGGCAAATGTAAGCCCCTTCATTTGTGAATAGCATTTCTTATTTTTCTTTGGTCTTGTGCATTTATATCTGGAGTTAAGGGTGTTTTTAAGTTCTTCTTAATATTGAAGCATAATCTGTCTTGGTTACTGTTTGTGGATGTATATGTAGTCTTTCATATTCTTCTATAGCTCTGTAAGGCCTATGGTAGACGAAGGTTTGTGACTTTGTTCAATTATATGTAATGCTGCTTAAATCATGGATGAATTATAATATTTTAGCCATGGTTTTGGCAACAGCTAAGTTCACCTTATCTGTTAACTTCATGGTTGAATTAGAATATTGGGTTTAATAACCGTGTTCATACATCTAGAATAGGCCTACTGTGTTTACCGAATGACTGAATGGATTTTCTGAGTTTTAAATGTAAATGTGTTCTGTATTGGCAGATGCTCAACTTTTCAAACAATGTCATTAACGATGAAGGCAGGCTGAGGACTGTTCTTGATGTGGGGTGTGGTGTTGCAAGTTTTGGAGGTTATCTTCTCTCATCTGATGTCATAACTATGTCCTTGGCACCAAATGATGTTCACCAGAACCAAATCCAGTTTGCCTTAGAGAGAGGAATTCCTGCTTATCTTGGCGTTTTAGGCACAAAGAGATTACCATATCCTAGCCGGTCGTTTGAACTTGCTCACTGCTCTCGATGTAGAATTGATTGGCTTCAAAGGGACGGTATACTTCTTCTTGAATTAGATAGGGTGCTGAGACCAGGAGGCTATTTTGCCTACTCTTCTCCTGAAGCATATGCTCAGGATGAAGAGGATCTTAGGATATGGAGAGAGATGAGTGCTCTTGTGAAGCGGATGTGTTGGAAAATAGCTGCAAAAAAAAACCAAACTGTCATTTGGGTCAAGCCTTTGAACAATGACTGCTACTTGCAGAGGCGCGCTGGTACTCAACCTCCCCTTTGCCGATCAGATGCTGACCCAGATGCTGTTTTAGGTGTGAATATGGAAGCATGTATCACACCATACTCTGATCGTAAGTATCTCTCCTGCTCATCTTTCATACCTTGAGTCCTTGACCTTTGAGTAGTGAATGTACGTGCTTGCTTTCTTTCTGGTGCTGCATTTTTTTCTTCTGAAGCTACCTTGTGGAAGATGTCTTCATCACTTCAATAATTTTCCTTCCTTTATCTCGGAAGGGAATTTTATTCTCCAAAATACTATTTTTCATTGATAGTGATCATAATACCCCCTTGTTTGCTAGAATATAAAATATTAAAGCTCATAAAATATCCTACTATAGTGTCTTTTATGTATGGTGAAGTGACGAATGAAAATGAATTAATTTTAATTTCTTCTCCACTTCTAAAAATTGTGTCTCTCCGTAGCTTTGTCTACCCCATAAGTGTCTCATTGGTCATTTGTTCAGTCAAGTTGTGTTCTTTTTTACTCTGCCTTATAATACCCTTTTGGATTCCTTGATTGTAATTGCTCTTAGCTTGGAATGTCAAAGGCTCAAAGCCACTGCAAAGTGTTTCTTCATTTTATCTTAAGCACTCTGTATTGGGTGGGGTGCAACTCTGTATTCCAAATACAAACTAATTGCTCACTAAATTTTAGAGTGTAGCAATCTTTCCAATTTTCATTTTCGGACTGTAGAAGGAACAAGAAAAGACAAAGCAATAGGCATCATAATTTTGTGCAGTAATTTCTTCAATTGCTTTCTCCTACTTTCGTCTCGACCCCTGTTAATTTTTACTGCCTCACCCATTTCTATAAGAATGCTGAAACAGTAAAGAAAGAAGAAGACCTGAATGCTGCATAACTATCATTCCTTACTTCGGTTTGTGTATTGACTATTTTTGAACCTCTTATCTGCTAGAAGTTGCTTGGGCTTGGATTGGTTCAGTCCCCTCTTACTTTTGGAATACTATCCTGGATATCTGTTTTTATGTTTCATTGGGGATCTTATTATACTGTCCTGGGGTCTTTTATGTGAAATAAATTTTCTGAATTTGCTTTGCTGCTTTACTAAGTTGAGTTTTTTTTTTTATTGATCTTTTGTAGATGATCACAAGGCTGGTGGAGGTGAGTTGGCACCCTGGCCTGCTAGATTGACTTCTCCTCCTCCTCGGCTTGCAGATTTTGGCTATTCAAATGACATGTTTGAAAAAGATACGGTATGTCAAACAACCTTGTCTCGCCATGCATCATAATTTTGAATCAAGAGTCAAAGACAGTAATTGGAACAGATTAAATAACAATTGTTCATCAACGGGATGTTTCTTTTCTGATACAGGATATGTGGGGTCGTAGAGTTGAGAATTACTGGAACCTTTTAAGTCCCAAGATCCAGTCTGATACTATAAGGAATGTGATGGATATGAAGGCACATTTAGGATCATTTGCTGCTGCTTTGAAGGATAAGGATGTCTGGGTAATGAATGTTGTTCCAGAAGATGGACCAAACACTCTTAAGGTTGTATATGATCGTGGTCTTATTGGGGCAGCTCACAACTGGTAAGCAAGCTTGCTAATTTGCTGTTATCCTTGCTTTTGTATATGATCTATTATCTTATTGACCTAGCTTTTATCTTGAAACTCTGCTGATATGAGCTGATTATATAATCTTATAGAAATTAGCAAATCACATAGTAAGCTGGAATTAGACCACTTACTGCATTGCAATAGAGTACTTGTAGTACTTTAATTATCTGAACTCAGGTCACAAAGAATGCTTTTGTGGCCTTTAGTTCCAGTCTTCCAGAGGTTATTTTTGTCGACTACTGCTAGGTTGTTGGGGGAGAGAGGTGGTAAACACTACCCATATGTTGTGAACTTGTGATCTCTGTTGCGTCAGATTGCTTGAAATGAGTTCGGATTTTGGAATATGCTTCTGCTGTTTGACCTCTAGTACCCTATATTCTTGGAATTTTCAAAGACTTTACCAGTCCCCTCTGGCTACCCTGGCTGCAAAACAATTTTTGACCATTTTACCTTGCTCCTCTTCTGACCAATTTGACCATTTATTGCTCCTTGAGAGGTTATCTAACCAGTGGCACAACCTCTAAAGTAAACTTTTCATTGCTCCAAATTTCGATTTTTCATTTGTACTAGCGCTAGCTTGTGGAGGAGCGGTCACTTATTTTTCTTTGCTTTAATGTTAGGTGTGAGGCCTTCTCAACATATCCTAGGACTTATGATCTACTCCATGCCTGGAACATCATCTCTGACATCGAGAGGAAAAGCTGTAGCCCTGAGGATCTTCTACTTGAGATGGATCGAATTCTCAGGCCTACTGGTTTTATTATTTTCCGAGACAAACAGTCCGTAGTGGACTATGTAAAGAAATACATGTCAGCTTTGCATTGGGAGGCAGTTGGAACAAGCGATTCAAGTTCAGATTCAGATCAGGACGGGGATGAAGTTGTATTTATTGTTCAAAAGAAGCTTTGGCTCTCAAGTCGAAACTCCAGGGATGAAGAATAAGCAAGTCCAAACACAAAGGTTCTGCTCTATGCGCTCCTAAATGTTCCATCCGCTAGCCATCAGTTCAGTTACATCCTGTAGAATTAACTTGAAATTATTTTATTGTATCCTGTTATCGGCCTTTTTTGGTTAAGTTTTTTGTTTTACAATTTTTTCCCCCTCTATTTTAGTCTTGAATGTATTACCACTTAGGTTTTAGTTGATTAGCCCATAGACAAGAAAGCATCTATAGGCTACGAGTATTTCTTATTGGTTTATTCCTCGATATATGTTTTGAGCTTACTTACATATACTTTGGCCATTCATTAGTAATTGTAACAAGACACTATACTGCTGAAGTACACAAGGGGATATAAATTTTATATACTACGTATTGGCTTAATAAGAATGTCATTATTGTATTTTTCTTTGTTGCAATCTATAAACATTTTATTCATAGCAGCTCGTATATATGAATAATGACCCACTTTCCATCTTCTATCTCATTTACTTGGTTTCTGTGGCTACGAGGGAGCGAAAATTCTGGTTCTCATTGCATTGACGGCTCTTGCTTCTTTCTGTTGCTACGAGGGTGTGAAAATTCTGGTTCTCATAGCATTGACGGCTCTTGCTTCTTTGAGATGGACGAGTGAACTTAATGTTAAAGGACTAACTCAACCAAAAGCTTAAGCTGATGGTTGAAGTCCAGAAATATGTTTTATACTCCATCACGTCCCCTCACATGAGAGCCTTTAGGCTTAAAATATAGATGAGCCCTTTAAGCTAGAAATGTGGATGCAGCATGGACCTCCCGCATACCTTGCGCGAAATATTCCACTTTGAAAAGAGAGGTGGATGAGATTCAAACCCGTGACCTTTGTGTCACGCTGGCTCTGATACCATGTTAAAGGACCAACTCAACCAAAAGTTTAAGCGGATAATTAAGGTCCAGGAATATATTTTATATTCTATCATTTAACCAACTAAATCTTAACAGAAAAAAACTTTATTATAAATCCAATTTTTGGACCACCTCACAACCTCTAGGCCAGGGCACATCACAAATTCAGTTTGATGATTTAATGAACATGGCACACAAAGTTTACATGCACAACCTTACTTTGACGGAATTTGACTAAAGCTTAAGTTTATTAATCTTGTTTTTCTACCATGGCACACAATATATGCATGCATTACCTAATTGTAATTGACTTTGATTAAAGCCAATTGAATTCATTACAAAAGGGTTATGAAAGGAAGAGGATATTTGTGAATGATCTTGTAATAATCAGGATTAATGGTTGGTACTGAATATAGCTTCAAGTAATTGTGGAGGACGTTGGATAAATTTTTTGTACGGAACATTCTCTTAAGTATGCGGATGAGGATGACATTACATATCTAATAATTTTTCCAAGGGCTAGAACTTTTTGTGTAGAATAAGGAAAAGAGAGAAAGGGTAAACAAACATTTGAAGAAAGAAGATGCTAGATATAGTGATATTTTGAATTATTATTAGTCATCAAAGATTCGAAAATCCTCTATCTCACTTTTTGTGTAACATATATATATTACTTTTATATGAGAATTGATTACAACTACTCTGTAACTTATAGTGTTGAGGTATATTTAACTAATTATGAATTTTATTTTTTTTTCGAAATTTGTGCAAACATTATAGTTGCAAACCAAAAATTCTTTTGTACATTCAAAATGTATGTTCATGTGTGGTTGAGATGATGTGTGACGTGTTCATACATGACTTTCATCACTTACTACTTTGTCATATATACCGCAGGATATATCTTTTATTTTAGGAAAAATTGTCAAAAATAATACAACTTTTGGCCCATTATAATACAATTTTTTGATTATTTTGGAATAATACAACCTTTAGGGGGGTGTTCATTCAAACAAGACAAAATCGAATTTTCGATGATTTTGAGGTGGGAGAAGGGGAGGGGATATTCCCCCCTTCTCCATCCCCACCACCAAAAGCTCATCCTCTCCCCTTTCCTAACCTCAAAATCCACCGGAAATTCGATTTTGTCTTGTTTAAAATAAACACCCCTTAAAGGTTGTATTATTACAAAATAATCCAAATGTTGTATTATTAAAAAAGAACCAGCTAAAGGTTGTATTATTTTTGACAATTTTTCCTCTATTTTATGGTTATATCGAGTATATTGCATAGTCAAAGTAGACACGTCTATACTTGTAGTCTCTCTCCTATTAGTTTATTCAAAATCCTTCACCATCCAATAATTTACTTTCCTAATCTATATCTTCTAATCTTTTCTATGTGGATATGGAGAGGCCTGCCTACAAGTTTTGAAAATATACACCAACAATATTACAAACCACATATATGTATTTTTATATTATCATATACACAAACTACATAAAATATATTTATATATATATACATTATATCACATACACATATACCTTAGTTGGAAGTGGTTTACTCGATCATGAATGATTCCAACACATATGTTATCTAGTCTATGTATGTATCCTAAATTCTTAATTAATGTTAAATAAGTCCATGATTGATTGTAACGATAACAATAATTATTGCTAATCATGAATTAAGTTAGTTGATAATGTCAAATCCAACCTAATTTAAAAAAAAAAAAAAAAAAAAAAAAAAAAAAACTTATGTAATAGCCTTCATATAACCATAGGTTTAAAATCTTTATACTCCGTAATATAATAAAAAATGGGGTCAGCCAAAGCAGTCTCTCATTATGGCTATAATTATTCTCACGTCTCTTTATCAATTTGACAGGTAAGCACATGCAATGTCAATAAATCATTAATCACAATTTTAAATGCAAGAGTGAAGTAGACTTTTTTGTTTCTTGTTCTCATTTAAAACCTAAAGTATATAGATTTAGCAATATAAAAACATTAGCTTATAAATAAATTAGGTTATTAGGGTCCATTTGATTAATTTGTTGGGCCATGATTTTATCCTTAATTTAGTTATTTCTTCATCTATGGCCTTTGGTCCATGTATAAGCTATCAATCAATTGGTTTTAACGAGAATTTGTTCAATTTTTTCCATTCATGAAGACATTTGGGACCTTAGTGTAAACATGTAATATAATTGTCTACAACGGTTCAACCCATGCATATTATTTGGCATTTGTTTAATTTATTGATACAATTTGTTAATTTGAAAAGTGTTACATATGATTTAATTTATAGGAATTATTATATTTTGAGATTAGTGAAAAATTTATTCAATTAATTCTTATTATTTGTGTTTATTCAAAAATAAAGGTGAGATGAATTTATAATAACAATTATTTAAAGACGTTTAAAAATAGGAGAAAAAGTCACCCATATTTTCCAAGAAATTATTGGAAGTACACTCATTGGACAATTTTTTGCCAAACCAAGTCCTAATTATTGGTTTGTGTATTTTAGTAAGAATTCAACTTATTTGACAATTGATACTCATGTTTGCCTTGATTACAGGAAAGGCAACTAATACTTTCCCACTCTAGGTTACATGCATCAAAGACTAAATATCCACTATAAAAAGTACATAATCCATGGTTGACAATTTAGACATGACAAAATAAATCCTTTTATTGATAATCGAATTTTGAACGTAGGTAATAATACTTGCGTATATAAACTTATGGATCAAACTTTTAACCTATAATATAAACAAAGATAAAAAAAAATTAAAAAAAATAAAAAATAAAAAAAAGAATTTGAATTGTCGCCACAAGTGATTGACGTATTTAGTGTGGCATATCTAAGGTGAAACTAATCTAGAAGTGTATAAATGACTTAATATACGGTTGATTATCCGATTGTATTGTAGCCTAATTAATCTCTAGACTTATATTCAAGTTATTTAGATATTTCACTTGTAAGGAGGATGTCCTAATACTTGTATTTTTTTTTCGAGGTTGATATAACTTACTCCGTACAAGGCATGAATATATAGCGAAGTATAAAGAGAGGAAAGTAGAAGGGAGGTGGTGGTGCATTGGTGCCTTTTGTAGTGGCTGAGATCCCCGCCAAATTCCTGCCGAATATTAAGGCGTTGAATGTGCAAAAGTGAAAATTTTACCACAAAATTCTTATGTAAATGAGCCATTTCATTTAACGTAACCTTTAAAGTTTTATTATACGCACTACAATTTTTCGTGTTCGTGTCCTACATCAATTCTTTACACCAGATTATCAGTAAGGAGTTTGGCCTTTTAGGCTAGCATGCACTTAGGCCTTTTGTACGAAACATTTTCAACAATTTTAAAATTTGGTTCTTGTCAAAATAAATAAAAAAAATTATGATTATACTCTGTATTAAAGCTAAAATTGAGGTTTGTTTAGGGGTTGTACGTAATTTAATTTGGTTATTTCATACGCTTTAGTGCATGACACATCCGTACATAAAATTGTTTAGGTATAAATCAGAGGAACAACAATATGCTTCCATTCCTTTGAATGTGTTTATTGTAAAAGTGTGACAACGATAATCATTTTTCTCGTACAAAGTATGGAGTATTTTTTAAGTATTGAATAGTAAAACAATTACATATCGAGATTCCTCTATTAATGAGATTTTTTTACGTACGTCATACCATATCTTGTGTATGATAATATGAATATATACTTTATATTTTTTATAAAAAAGTTTAATTATTGTGCTTGTCTATCATGACTTGTGAAGTGTGAACAAATAGACAAATATAATCGTCTTAATTATACTTTGTAAAGTACAACCAGTTGTATTGTGAAAATTCTCGCTAATTCGTTCCCTTATTTGTATGATCATCATTGGTAAGGACAAATTAAGAAATTGGGTTTTCTCAACACACGTTTAACCCTATGGATCGAGGCTAACACCTAATGGCCTAACAGTCCAAGGCATTCACGTGAAGCGTTTTAGTTTAGTATGGTAGTACACCTAATTACATTCCTTGATTCTCCCAATTGATATTAATAATTACTAATGACATTCTTTAGACCTGGTCATTATTCTATTTATGTACTATAAATAAAACAGAAGCTCGATTATTGCTATTATTAGATTTCATGCTAATATGCTATTATGACTGTTATGCATAAAAGGCATATGCATGCATCATATCTATGTAAATTGAAGGAATAATTAGAAAATAACACCATAAATTCCTCAAAAAATGGATTATAACACCACAAAATCTAAAACTTTTATCATAACACCACAAAAAAATCTCAAAAATTGGATTTCACCACCAACTAACGGATTTTTGGATGGAATCCATCTGTTAGTGGGACTCACTATGGCTACGTGTCAATAAGACATTGGTTTTAAAAAAAAATTAAATTAAAAACAAAAATTATTTAAAAAAAAAAAAAACCTAAACTCTAACCCAGCCACCAGCCCACCACTGGCGGCCTTGACCCCATCACCG